TGTGTGTGTGTGTGTGTGTGTGTGTGTGTGTGTGTGTGTGTGTGTGTGTGTGTGTGTGTGTGTGTGTGTGTGTGTGTGTGTGTGTGCTTGTGCGGCCCTCTGCCTCAGAGTTTGGGATTGTTTTTTTCTGCATGGATGGACTCAGCTATTAAACACTGTATACATACCATATATGATATACGTAAACCACACAGCCCCACATCTCATCTCTTCTGTCATCTCTTTTCATGAACTTCACTTGTAGCGTACCACCGGAACGACCCATTGGTTTTGTCAATTTGGCTCATGTTGAACCTTAGCAGCATTGGTGAAGCATCATTAGAACTGGTGTTAATAATCCGGGGCTGATCTCATAATGGTTCCCACAGCAAAAAGGCAATAGGAACCCTTAAACAAGCATTATCTAAACACCTTACATCTAAATAAAAAGGCCTCAGGTCATGCTACACACCTAGATCGTTTGCAGTATTTAATCAGTTAAAAAAAAAATGTTTCAACATTCAAACTTGTCATAAAAGTCCCATAAAAATATATAAATCTGAGAAAATTAACCACATTTTTCCTGTGGGATTTTCTCGATGCCACTAGAATGCACTGTTGCTCCCTGTAATCCACTTTGGTGTCATGAAGCAGCTCATCTCCAGCCGAACACACCCATTAATATCACCCATCTCCACAACTCTATCATGTACCCGGTGGTTGCTAGGATTTGAGAGTGCTATAAAGTATATATATAGTATTTATATCATTTGCCCCTTTGAAGCTTTAATTTGATATAAAAGGTGATTACGCTGTCTTCTCAGGCGACAGGTATTAACATCTTCTTCCCTTGGATTTCACCTCTAGGGAAAACATTAAATTGGGTAGATCAGAGTTCATACATAAATGAAAGCTGAACAGGGACCAGCATATGTTGGAGCCTTATCGCACATTTAATTCACACAATCGTGATTTCATCTCAACTGTAAGGTCGACAGCCGTTTTACAAACATATGCATTCTCCTTCTATCACACCCTTCATGCGTAACTTGATACCTGTCACTAAATGTTCCTCAGCCAGCTGCAGCTATTAATTTAAAGGCTTAAACAAAAATAAAAACACTCAATTATTTATTGTCATAACGTTAGTGTGAAACAAGTGCGTTCTCATAAAGTACGCCACACTAAATATAACCCAC